GGCACACAAAAGTAACCACCTTAGACCTGCTAAAACAGGAAGCATAACTTATTTTTAAAAAAACAACTTTCCAACGATGGCATGCAAATAGATATTAAAAAATCAAAATACTTGTCCTTTCTCCTTTTTAAATTTTGAGACCATTTTTAAAGCACCTCAAGCAAGATTGGATACTTTATTTCAAAACTAGACAATGTTAATTTAGGCCACAAATAATAAGAATGCTTTTCTTTGTATTGCAAAATGACTTTGCAGGTCAATTTAAGAGTAGTATTTGTTATTTTGGTGCTTGGGATTTGAACGTGGGCAAAGCATTCATTCTCCCACTGAGCTACAAGTGGTTATGATTTAATTCACTTCAGTTTTTGGAGCCTATGTTCAGGGGTTACTCCTGGCAGTGGTTGGGGGACATAGAAGACATGCCAGGGATTGAACCTGGCTTGGACACGTGCAAGGCAAGTGCCCTACCCACTGTACATTGCTCTGGGACCCTATCTTTAAAAAAATACGAAAGATTGCAATATGCATGTTTTCTTACCTTGAAGAATATTCTTCCTCTCCGGCTTCATCCGAACCTTTGTTAAAGTAGGTTTTCCAGAGTTCCACTATTTTAGGTGTTACATTAATTGCCCCATTTTTGAACTATCGTGCGACTTTGGAAAGGTTTGTCCTCCCTCTTGGAAGTCCCCATTCTCCCACGATCCCCAGCCCCATGCTCCTTAAGTTTCTCTTTTGCCTACAATTCTCTTACATTAAAAAAAAATGTCATGGTTACTGTTGAAGTTCAGAAGATGGTGCAACAATAGAATAATGATAGTGGATAATATTCATCAGTTCTATAGACAAGAAAATGCATACGTATCATATACACCTAACAGTTTTCTTGTACAAGATGTTTAAATTTCTAACAAATCTCAAATTATCTAGGGAAAATTTTTTTTTTTGGCTTTTTGGGTCACACCTGGCTCTGCACTCAGGAATTACTCCTGGCGGTAGCTCAGGGGACCATATAGGATGCTGGAATCGAACCCGGGTCGGCTGTGTGCTAGGCAAACACCCCACCCGCTATGCTATCACTCCGGCCCCTTTAGGGAATATTTTTTTAAACAAATGAATGAAGGTTTTTACCAAAGTACCACGAAAATCTTATAAATCTAAAATCTATTTGTGAAGCTCTGTACAGTCCTCAGTTACTGGTGATGCATGAAGCCTCATGAAAAGCACATTTTGGAATCAACAGGTTTGGGCCAAGTTCGTATTTAGTTGAATTTAGAATGATTGTTATATTATTAAGTCTAACTATTCTAGGATGTTGTGATAATGTTTTAAAGTCAGTTTTTAATACTGTGTAGAACTCAGCAGTTGGTTTGAATTTTCCACCTTTATACCTAAACTTTATTTTAAAAAAATTAACCATTTTATCATCTTATTACCAATAATGGGCTGGAGCAATAGCACAGTGGTAGGGCGTTTGCCTTGCACGCAGCCAACATAACCAACCCGAGTTCAATTCCTCCGCCCCTCGGAGAGCCCGGCAAGCTACCGAGAGTATCTCGCCCGCACGGCAGAGCCTGGCAAGCTACCTGTGATGTATTCAATATGCCAAACACAGTAACAAGAAGTCTCACGATGAGGCTACTGGGCCTGCTCGAGCAAATCGATGAACAACGGGAGAACTGTGACTATTACCAGTAATGCAGCACAGATTTCAATTTCTGAAGTTCCAAATAGTGATTACAAATGTTCATTAGAGACTTATGAAGTGCCCACACCCAACACATGCCAAACACTGTACTGAAACATTTAGGAATCACAACTGCATGTTCTAGAAACCCAGTAACTAATTTCCCCACACTTTATATATATGTGTATATATGTATATATATGTGTACATACATATATGTAGTACCATTACACATACATACCTATATGTATACATATGTACATACATATATACACACACAGCACCATTACACATTATTTGAATGGTACTTTACCTGAACACAACTTCAGTGTTACAAAAAATATACAAGGCTAGTTTGAGCTCCTCATATATTATTAACTACTTTTGTGTCACCCGGAGTTCACCTTAGATCCTAATGGTTTATCAAAAGGGACTTAAGGGACTGGAGCATACAGCAGGTGGGGCGCTTGCTTGCCTTACACGCTGCCAACCCAGGTTCAAATCTGGCACCCCATATGGTCCCCCTAAACACCACCAGGTGTGTGACCCCAAATAAAAACAAAAACAAAGCACTACATATGTCCAAAGACAAATTTGGGGGCTGGATAGCATAGGAGTTAGTAGATAGTATAGGAGTCACATGCCTTGCATGTAGATGAACTTCTGGCAACACGTGGAACCTCTGAGCCCTGCCAGACTGGCTTGCTGAGTCAGGTCCTTGCACTGAATTTTCAAACAATTGTGGGGTGTGGCTCTGTCCCTGTGGACTGGCTAGAAACTCCACCACTCCCAGGGGGAAATATTTGTTACGTTAATACAAAATCATTAAAAAAAAAAATTCTAGCCGTTCATGTTGTTCCTCGAGTTAGTTTCATGATTCTTCCTGTCATTCTTATTCTCTCTCATTTTTGGCTACTGCATTTTGTCTAGGGAAGAAAAGATGCTAAAAACCATGGATCTGCTTCTAACCATCTATTCAAGTAGGTAAAGCTGTCATTGAGACTCCGGAATAGCAGTTATTGGTGGCATTTATGCCAAAAATAGATACTAGCAAACCTAATAAAAATCCTTACCCTGTTGAGATGCCTCATATTATTAAATTTTAATTTGCCTTACTACATATCATGTAAATGAGGGACAAGGTGGCACTGCAATGTAGCACTGTTCTACCACTGTTCATCGATTTGCTCAAGCAGGCACCAGGAACATCTCCATTGTGAGACTTCTTGTTACTGTTTTTGGCATATCGAATACGCCACGGGGAGCTTGCCAAGCTCTGCCGTGCAGGTGGGATACTCTCGGTAGCTTTCTGGGCTCTCCAAGAGGGGCAGAGGAATCGAACCCGGGTTGGCCGCGTGCAAGGCAAACACCCTCACCGCTGTGCTATTGCTCCAGCCCTTGAGGGAAAAAGTAAATGATAAAATTATACATAGAAAATCAAGTCACCTAGGACACAGGATCAAATTGGTACCGCCATTTAGTAGCAGCGATACTATCAAGTGATACAAGTGTATGGAATAAAACAAGGCACTCAGAGCTGTGCTAACCTAATGCTGACACATTATTCTATGTACTTAAATGTTACAGCAATTTAACGTTTCTGCCATGGTTTTGTGCTTTGGGAAATTAGAACTACCTTCAATGTTTTCTTATCTGAAGTACAAAATACTATGTGCAGAACCATACAGTAAGCTATGTAGTCTGTATTTTTTTTAATAACAGCTTTCTCCCAAGACTGAGATGATCCAGGAACTAATAATTCAGTAATAGATAATCCAATAACAATGCATCAGAAAGCTTAAAAACAGACTACATAAAAACTGAGTCTAAAATTATTGTTTTACTTTTGTTTATGTAGGAAACAAAAATAAAACTAATAACAGTTAAAGTGAAATGATTAAAACTGTAAACACAATCAGCATGATCTAAACGTCTCAAAATTATTTCCTAAATGGAGGAACTAAGGAATACTTAGCAGAACACGAGACGATGTCAATGAAGTAATTTTCTAAAGATAGGGCACAATCTTAGCATCAATGGTTGTCATGTAAGCCTATCTCCACACCCAATATACATACTAGGGGCATGGGCCATCTTGGGACTTTGAAACTAATACTTCTTACATAGAAAGCTCATCAGCATTTTAAGGACTGAGTGGTATGTGTGTCTCACCTACATAGGTGACTCTAATATACTGTTTAAATGTAATGCATCTCGAATGCATCCTATCCCCCACCTCTTTTGAAAATTCACGGACATAAAGAATTCTTGCAATCACAACCACATTTTATTTTTGAGGCTGTGTGCTCTGGAACTGCAACAAGTTTTCCATCTTTAAATAATATGGCAATTCAAAATAAACACTGTCCTGGATTTGAAAATGGTTGAAAACTGTATAACAAGTGTTTAACAAAGATTACATCGTTTTTGCAGTTGGAAAACTGTGTTCACCACCCTCCTTTAAATTCAAGTATGTCACCAAAATTGATTCACATCAGACAGGAATAACCAAACAGGTTAGGATGCATTGTTCTTTGAAATTAAATAAAAAACAAAAACATTACTTGCTGCAAATAAAAAAAGCTCGGTCAGTATTTACTGAGTGGCATGAACTAAAATACTTATGAGCTAAACATAAACATCAGGAGGTCCAACTTTTTCAATGCAAATCTAAACTCAGCTGCAGGTGAGAGATTTTAACATGTAAACTTTAGAAGCATAAATATCAAATATGTGTTCCAAAATCAAATGTGTACGTAAATGTATCTCTATACACTAGATTTGTATATCCACACTTGAGACAATGATGTAAATTTAATTTTTACTGACGTTAATAGCTTGAATTTGCACTTAAATGCATTTATTTCATTTAGTTTTTCAAATGAAGTTTCTGTATCTTTCACAATTCATTCTGTATCTTCACAATTTCATTTCCCAAGGTGTTATATAAACATCATTTAACTGGGATTTGAGAGCAATGAAAAAAAGTTCTAAAACCTAAAATATCAGTATCTTCCTGAAGATACAACATTTTGCCATAACAAAATACCAATTATGTAAAAACAGGAAATTGAAAACCTTCTGTTTTCCAAGTTACACCCAAACTACTAGCTCTCACGTTTGGTTTAAGTATCCTGAGAATAATGTTCATGATAGTTCTCAACTGTATCTTAATTGCATAATGGAAAAGTGAAAAAAATGTAGAGATTAAAGCATAAGGCTTATAATTTCTACAGTGCAAATGGAGACAAAATTAAATTCAGCAAGAGCATATCTGCAAGTGTGAAAGTAAAATTATAACCCAAGACGCATGGGGAAAAATATTTATATGGAGTTTTTAATCCATATTAGAATTCAATCGTCGTTAACTTGACCATAAATTTAAACAGATACCATCTTTCGAGACATACATTCTAATAAATGTACCAACAGTATTGATAGTCAACGAAGGATCAGTTATTTGAACTTATTAGTAACATTTCATATTTCTATTCAACAGAAATCTATAGTGGTTTGCCCCAATTACATACCTGAAACATTGTCTTATAAAAACAAAATGAAATAAAATTAAATTAAATTGAAGATAAAAATACTCTGAAGTTAAAATAAAGCAAATTATAAATCTTGGCAGATCAGATAAAAAAACATTGGTGAAAGTTGGAAGCACAGGAGAATTGACATAATCCTCAGCACAAAGCACATCTTTGAAAACAAGAGACAATGACTCTTTGGCGGACAAGAACGAAATACCCAAGAATCATCAGATCTGAAAAATATTGCTTAATCATGTTCCAAACGGATGTAAGAACTGAAGATTTTGTTGGAAAACATCAAGGTAACCATATTTATTGCATCTTTAGAATGCATTTTCAAACGAAATGAACGGTGCACCCCAGCTTCACCAAAACACACATCTGAGAAGGGAAATCTGAACTTAGTTATAAATAGTGTAGATTGCGTGTGCTTTTCAAAGGGGCTGAATTAAATATAACCAGCTGCCAACTTTGTGCTCTGACATACTTGAATTAGTGGGTACGTGTGTACTAAATTCATTTATTCTTCTCTACAATAAATGAAATAAAAACACCACCCTATACAATCCACTATTAGCAGTGAGTACAACAGCAAAAAATTATTATACAATTTATACATACTAAAATATTTTCTTTTTATAGAGATAAAGCTGAACAGAGCCTAATCAATATAATACTTAATTTGGGAAATCTCAAATTACAATAGGGAAAAACCAAATCAGGGTGTGTCGTGAGCTCAAAACAAAGGTTCCTGGTCATAAGGCTATAAGATTAGTAAGTGCAAGTGGTAGAACAAAGCATGCTCAAATCGTATGCTTGGGTCTGTGTATATTTATCAAACGTTTAAATTAAACAAGACTAGCTAAAGAAATGTTTGAAGCAGAGCAAGGTAATTGGGAACTGTGTCATATCTTTTACCATTTTTGTTTTTACCCAACTTATACAATGCGCAAAGTGCTAAGCAACACTACAAAAACACATTTACATCAACACTGAAGACCTGGGGAAATGAAATCCAACAATTTTATTTTAATGAGCTGCATTTTCTAAATTTTTTGTTTTATTTTTTTTTCCTGTTTTCATACAGTATTGAAAACAAAACGCGGCACATTCACATTTTCCCGAGGAACTGTAAAGATGATCTCTACAGGGATAAACGTTGGAAAGCCTGAAGCTCAATCAATTGATGTTGAAAACTCTCAAAGGGAGTAAAGGCTTGATCTGAACGGTCTAGAACATGTACTGCAATTTAATAGAAGAGATGGTCGTCTTAATATTTAATGATTTAAAAGAACTTCCCAGTCCATGCGAAGAGTACAGTCCGAGAATAAATCAATTTTTTAACGCATTTTATGCTACGTATGTGTATACTTTGCGATCCTCAGGCGTTCGTGCCAAATATTCTCTCTCAATAAGTCCTTCAATACGTTTCTTAATAACAACTGGACTTGGTAAGAATCGTGCCTTCAACTGTTGAGTTACCTAAAAAAGGTTAAAAAAAAAAAAAACCAACATTAATTCCTACTAGACAATTCTAATGCAAGACATCCGTATAACATTTTTATATCTTAATGGAACAGTAAGTTCTTATTAAGACTCAGATCATACTTCAGTAACCTGAGTAGCACTGTTAAAAGTACAGAAAATTTTGAGTATTTTGTTCAAAAATATAATGTATGGTAAGAGCATACTTGTGGTGTGAGAATGTAACTATAAACACATTAGTTAACTGATTTAGCTGGAATACAGTACCAGTATATTCCTTCTAGTTTAACCACATCGATGCTATAATCCACTAGCCTGCCAATTATTCTCCCAATTCACAGAATTTGGGAAGCACATGTGAAGCACATGGGAAGCACATGGGAAGCACAAACTCTGGGTCTTGACTACTATCTTCAAAGTTCCAGCTCTCAATCTTACTAGCTCTGTTGTTATGGGTAAGTTACTTTTAACTTCATTAAGCTGTCATGCATAGCAAATGAGTTAACAGGTGTAGTAAAGTGATGCTTTAAAATAGTACATGTCTCTAATTTCTTTAACCACCGTTACCATTCTACAAATTATATCAGTAATAATCAGTCGTAAATTAATCTCAGCAAAAATAAAAGTTAATCTCTATGACTCTGATTCATTAGTCATTTCTGATACAACACTTTTGGGGCTATGGTGATGTGTCTCTCCGCAGTGCTGGGAACCCCAGGGGTCACTGCCAATGATGTGTGACCTGGCAATATTAGATCCAAGGTTCGGTGCCGGGCACAAAGAAGATGTGTCACCTGAGGCACACCAGGTGTAGACACAGGAGATGCTTGGGAGGTCACTAGGCTCCACCTGGTATGCTCGGGGCAATGGAGGGCCAGAGATACAATTGGGGAACCCAGTCCTTATTGACATTCTTCACTGGCAGTACAGGAAAATAAGCCAGAGAGGAAAACGGATTTATCCAAGCAGTAATTGAGCCAGTAGTCAGAGATTAGAATCTGAACTGTTCTGCGCCCCCAAATCCATACTTTCCCCATGAGTCTATCTACTCTGCTGTCTTGCAGACCACCCACATGTGAAAATTTGAGTTTTTCTTTAGCTCCTGCTGGCATAGTTCATTTCCCAAGAGCACAATCATTCTTTGAAACCTGAGACTTCACTATTTCATTCTCCAACAAAACTTCAGTATCAGTGAGCTTCCCAGTACTATCACTTCCTGCCCTCAATCCACACGAGGTCTGTCAGCTCTGACTCCATTTCCCATATGATTATCAACTTCCTTTAACCCTGGGCCACACCCCGTAGTGTCAGAGGTCACTAATGGAGGTGTTCGGGGGGACCAGTGTATGAGATGCTGGAATCAACCAGGTCTGCCACATGCAAGGCAAACACCCTAACCCACAGTATTATTGCTCCTGTCTTAAACCTAACCACTTTCTTAACAGGGTCCAGACTGTGCACATGCACACTGTGTGTGTGTGCGTGTGTGCATGCATGTGTGTGTATTATGTACTTGATTTCTCTTGGTTTCTAATCCAAAAACACCTATTCTTCAATATATCATTCAAAATTGACCACAGTTCTTTGCTGAGCGAAGCTGTAATTTTCAAACTCTTTATGTAGACCAGGACAACAAAATGCAGTCCCACAGATCTAATATACCCGCTACCCGCTCTGCACACTTTCACTAGAACAGTTACACTTCTTTACAACTATTCCTTGCTATGTACAAAACAACACAACAGAAACCTACATTGCCACCCTGTGTTGTCAACCAATTCCACACAATTGTAAATTCAAGTTCGGTTAAGTTCCTGTGTATCATTTTCTGATATATTTCAAATTCGAGTTTCCTTATACTCCTAAACCTAAACTCTACTGCATAACTCTACATTCTGTTACATGGGGGACGAAGACACATGATACGGACCATTTCAGTTTGAAATGCCTCAAATTTCCACATCTTACAAATATTCATCTGGACTTGCATACATCCTTGATCAGTAACACCTCAGTTCACTGGCCTTTGTTCTTAGACAAAGGTATTTTCAGAAACACGTGTACTACAAATTTACCACCAATTTGTGTCCTATTAGTAGCTCTGGTATGTAGGTAGCACATACAAAAGGTTAAAAATCACTGCTCTATGCTGAACGTAGACTATAGACCAAACATGACTGCCATTCATTGCCTCTTTTGCAAACCACAACACTCAAAAGGAGAGAGAGAACAATAGGGAATGCCCTGCTACAGAGGCAGGGTGAGATGGAGGGGATGGGGGTGGGAGGGATACTAGGATCATTGGTGGTGGAAAATGGGCACTGGTGGAAGGATGGATGTTTGATCATTGTGTAACTGAAACTCAAGCACAAAAATTTGTAAGTCTACAACTGTACCTCATGGTGTCTCACTAATAAAAATTAAAAAAAAAATCACTGCTCTAGGGGTCACGGATGTACATAGTTGAGCAGGTAAGGTACTTAAACCTAGCGAGCCTGGGTTAGATCCTCATATAGTTCTCTAAGTTTAACCAGAAGTGATCCGCGAGCATAGACCCAGGAATGAGCTATGGGCACAGCTGAGTGGAGCCCTTGCCCCTGCCCCCAATCAAAAAAGCCGAAAGCCAAAAACAAAAACAGAACAAAAATCAGGGCTCTAAATAATTTTCATTTTCAGCCAGGCTTGGTACATCAATGATCCCTTCATTCACCCCACCCCGCCCAAGCCGTCTCCCCCAACTCTCCCAGAGCCTTATACATAAGGCATGATTTCTGTCACTGAGCTCAACACTGGCTTTTGCTTTAAGCAATTTTCCTTTACTCTGAGTCATCCAGAAGAATAAAACCAGAAGTCCTCAACTACACCATTTTATCTTCTAAGACTACTTACTCTGCCCTTGCCTACATGGCAACCTCACAAAGGACAAAACCCTCACTCTCAACGATTCAACTCCAATTTCTTAAGTCAAAGACATTAAATGTCCACCGTTATCAATCCAATGAAAGCATTTGGAAAAACTGAAACAATCACTGTGCTCCGGTTTCTTTATTTGGTCTTTTTAGTTTCGACACTGCTGACTACTCACACTTAGAATTCTCTTCCCAATTCCATGTGACACATGTCAACATGTATAAAAACTGATACGCAGCACATTTGCTCCCACTTCTGATTGTGCAGGTCACCTTCTAGCCAATCAAGCAAGAAACTGAAAGTTACCCTAATTTTTCCCCCCTTTTCAGCTTCAATTAATCCCGCTGATTTTATTTCCCACAGGTCATTATTCTGCTCTTCACCCTCTACCAATGTTTTATTTAGGCCTGATCATCTCTCCTCTAATGGCCTTCCATTCCTATGTTTCTTGACTTGTAAAACAGCAACAATTATTCAGAAACACCTTTGGAGGGCCAGAGCCATAGTCCAGCGTTTGCCTTGCATTCGGCTGACCTGGGTTCAATCCCCGGCATCCCGTATGGTCCCCCAAGCACCACCAGGAGTAATTCCTGAGTGCAAAGTCAGGAGTAACCTCTGAGCATCGCTGGGCGTGAACCCCCGCCCCCCCCCAAAAAAAAAAAAAAGAAAAGAAAAAAGAAAAAGAAACAGCTTTGGAAGTTGGAGTAGTTCTACAGACGGGACTTGCATTGCATGCAGCCAACCCAGCTTTGATCTCTGGCAACCTGTATGGTCCAGAGCATGCCCAGGAGTAACCTCTGAGTGCAGAGCCAGGAGTAAGCCCTGAGCACAGCCATGTTGTGTTTAAATTACCCAAAATTTAAACAAGCAAACACTTTAGATTTCATGTGGTAATATCCCTTGTCTGTTCACTATGCATGGATTAGCTCTTGAAGTGTCTCATTATTAGGTGTCGCTTTTCTTTTTTATTACTTTTAATGGAGTTGGTTTGTTTTGGGGCCACACAGGGCTGTACTCCGGGCTTACTTCTGGTGGTGCTCAGAGGACCACACGGAGTGCTAGGAGTCAGCAGGAGCAGGAGCGCAGGGCGAGCACTTTCCCTTCTGCTGAGCTGTCTCTTCAGCCCGTAAGTGCCATGTTTATAATGTGTTACCTGGCCATGATCTCCTAATTTGAAAACTAGCTGCGTACAGCACTTTTCTAAACTGTCAGCGCATGCTGCTGCTTCTCCATTAACCGCGTGTCCTCACCTCTGCTACTAACACGTTGTGCTGCATCTTCTTTCTAGATTTCATTATCCGGACTATAGCAGCTTCTATCTCATGTTTTCTGTCGTCATCTACTTTCTGCCTGGTTTCTTTCCTTTCTGGGTCAGATTCACCTTGTTTGGCAGCAACTGAAACAGAAGCACAGGCATTAACCAAGAAATCAGCATATAGTTTCCAAAGTAATGAAAATTTACTTTAGGAGCAAAACAGTATGATTTAGCCCGATTCACAGGAGAAAGTCTGTTTCGACTTGAGTATGCACATTTATTAATAAATCCAAGTAACCAGTAAACTGCTTAGTAACAAAAATCCTGTTATTCTAAATTAACTTTTTTTTAAAGAACTGGAAGTTTAATTTTACAAAGATAATAAACCAACTTTATTTTTGTAAGACAAAAATGTTTCTTCCTGGGAGAAAAATGGTAGCTTGCGTGCTCGCTCGCTCGCTCACTCTTGCTCTCGCTCTCTCGCTCTCGGCTTTTGCGCCAAGAGAGAGCACAAGGTACCATTTTTTTTTTTTACCATTTACACCACACTAGAAGGTGCTCAGGGAGCACCAGAAATTGAGCCCAGGTCAGCTGTATGCAAGGCAAGTGCCCCACCTGCTGTACTATAACTCTGGCCCCAGTAGCTAGGTATCTCTAGCTATAAAACTGTTGGCATGCTCTTGTGACATAAAGAGGTACTTTATCTAGTATTTTATCACCCTGTCTCCAAGTTAAACCTTTCTAAAAGTACCTAAGATAACACCTTCCTAGACTCTACAGGAAGGAGTATGTTATAGCTAAGGTTCAGCCAGATTTCAATAATTCAAAATCACCATTATTTGCCAGTAAAGGAATTTCGCTTAATTAATTTGTACCTCTCACCAATAACCTAGCAATTTCCTATTGTTCATCTTTTTTCAATGGCAACCACATGATCATAAATGAACACTATATTCCAATTTTTTAGGAGGTTTACTGCTCTGAGTCTTCAGGGCAACTGCTGCCAAGTCTTTCCCCTACAACTGTGTGCTGTTTTAAGTAGGAGAGGAGGCCAGAGAGATAGTATAGCAGGTAAGGAAGATGCTTGCTTGCATGCGCAGACTTGTGGTCAATCAGTACCATATATGGTCCCCTGAACACTGTCGGGAGTGATCCCTGAGAATAGAGCCAGGAGTAAGCCCTGAGCACAATTTTTTGTTGTTGTTTTGGGGTGTCCTTAAACAAACAAAAAACCACCCAAAACAAAACAAAAAAACAGTAAAATAGAAGAAAAAAGAATAGTAGTAACTGGCTTATTATAATCTGCTCACCAACTTCTGAAATCTCTAGAGGTAAAAATTGGAAGATTTACAAAGAACCATCTGGAACACTGCTGATTCAGGCAGTGGCACACCCACCACCAGACTAGAGATTTAGAAGATGATCCTGACATGTACATCCACGAAGCCCTTTCTAATTAGAATCCCAGGTAAAGAAAATGGCTTTAAATATCTTTTCAAGTTAAAATATTTTTAAAGTAAATTAAAAGAGCATTTGCACTATTAAAGCACAAGAAATAATAATGCCTTTTCTTTCAAAAAGTCAGTGTCATAAAGAAAAGGAGGGGCCACTAAGATAGTTACGTGGGCCAGGAGCTTGCCCTGCACATGGATAGCCTGAGTTTGGTTGATTCCCGGATACTCCATATGGTTCTGATCCCTGAGCACAGAGCACTGAGCCAGGAATAAACCCTGAGAACCTTTAGGTGTGGCCCAAAAACCAAAAAGAAAAGGTTTAAGAGGTACTGATTAAGAATAAATAGAACCAAAGAGATATACCAATCAGGGTTATTTGATTAAAACCTGGATCTAAGATGTCCATTAACCATTAGCTTAACCAGTGAAAAACAACTATTTTATAAACGCTAACACACTCATAAAAACCAGTAACTTTTAAGTAGAGAACCATATGGAAGTAAACTTGTCACAGCCTGAGTTAGATTTTTAAACACTTACTGTACTTGGAACTCAACCACATTGTAACAGAAACACCAAACACTCGTCTTGTTTCTTAATTCTCCATATTATGCCATACCAGAAAGCAGTCTTTTAACAGCAGAAAACCAACAGATAGGATTTAAGGAGGAAAATGTGTAATTTAGAGGGGAAAGTTTTCCTTCAGATACCTGTTTGAATCTTGACTCTGTGTAGTTTAGATGTGAACTGGTCATTGACTGTGAATATGTGGCCGTTTTCGATTTCCTTGGACTTGGGTTCTTTCGTGAGCACCCGCTGTGTTGGTTTACCACAGGCGAGGGACTGCAGGGCTCTGACAAGTTCTCTTTCAGGGATATCTGTTTCTTGCTGAATTTCCTGAAATTCCATCAAATTGATATCATTACGGTTAAAAAAATAAATTAATGACACTAGGAGAGGCAATTCAAGAAAAAAATTTCATGAGGTGATCAAGGAAATGATTTACAACAAAGAATTCCCTGGTTTTGATATTTATACTATTTAAACAAAACCTGATGTTACCTGACTAGAAAAAAGGACTTAAATTACAAAATACTGAAAAGGGGTCTTTTTTGTTTTAGAATATGAAATATTCTAAAGCCATAACACAGCAGAGATTAGGTAACTGCTTTTATAATGAAGTAAAAATAAAAGTGCTAACCAATAATCACTAGTTTTACAAAGACTTTAATTTCCTTCCAAATCTATCCATACTACTTTCTGCTAAGCAACTTTTGCTTCATGATAAAGAAGTGCAAAGTGTATAATATACTATCATGCAAAGTGTATAATTTAAGCTGTTCACATTTAGTACTATGTGATTAAACTTTTTAAAAACTGCTAATATAAAAAATGAAAAAAAAATTCGATAATATGTTCTGGTGCGAACGTGCAACTTTGGTTACATTTTGATAGCACTAAAATAAATTACAAATCTGAAAACAAAAGCAGTTCAGAAGAGAATTAGTGTGCAATTCATAAATTTAGGAAAGGGAAGGAGAAATGTGAATTTTAGTGATGAAGATTTCTTTGCTTCAATAGATCTTTCATATATTCACCCATTTTAGACATTTTAAAATGCTACAGACGTTAACCCTAGCAAATTAAATAGAAACTAAGAGAATGTTGACTATAATTATTCTAATGGGTGTTAAGTGACTTATTCACATATTCCACTCTTTCATACATTAAAAAACTATAAATAACTTCGGAAGAGATATTTTTATGATTTACTACAGCAAATTAACATGCTGTCTATGCTTTTGACTACCTATCTACATACCAGTAAAATTAAATGATTACAAATACACATATACACTAGCCCAGTGTTAAACACAAGTGGTATATCTCACAATGTAACTACTTCTGGGGAGTTGGTGCCACAACAGGCAGTGCTCACGGATCACTCAGGGCTGAGGAGCAAACACATGTTGGCTGTGTGCTAAGAAAACACCCTAGCCGCTGTGCTATCCCCACACAACGTAATTTCTTCTAGTGATTTCTTAAAGATTTTCCAAACAAGGAAAAAGACATTACAGCTATAGGAAATTCCATATTACATGTAACAATATAAATGCAAACTGAAAATGTGTAGACTTTATATTGGAGCACGCTTTTTGCCTCGAGTGTAAGGGCAGGTTAGGGACCAGAATGACAGTATATTGGGCGGAGCATTTTGCCTTGCATGCAGCTCCTCAGGGTTCCATTCTCGGCACCCCATATTATCCTCTGGGCACCACCAGGAGTAATTCCTGCATGCTGAGCCAGGAGTAACCACCTGAACATCATTGGTATGACCCAAGAACCAATAAATAAATAATAACAATAATAGTAATGCAGATGGATTTTCCCCAAAGCACAGAGATTTTATATTTAATAAGGTACTGGAAAAGTGACTTTCAAGCTACTAACTATTCAGAACAGCATGTGAATTCATCCTCTTCAGCACAAAGTTACTCTTTTGCACATCTGTTGGACTAAAGATTGTCTCTTTGGGGGCCACAGTAAACAGAGTACCTGCCTTGCACACAGCAGACCTGTGTGATTGCTGGTATCACATACGATCTCCTGAGCAGTGCCAGGAGTGATCCCTGAGTGCAGAGCCAGAAGTAAGCACTGAACAATGCTGGGTGTAGCCCCAAAATATAAAACAAAAATAGAATTTGTACTTCCTTTTTTTAAAAAATAATGACTAGTTTAAGATTTTTGAGATATAACTTTCATACAATAAAAACATCAATTATATATATATATACATATATAAATTTGATGAACCCTGACAAATACATAGTCTTTTTTTTTTTAATTTTACTGAATCACCGTGAGATAGTTACAAGCTTTCATATTTGGGTTACAATCACACAATGACCAAACACCCATCCATCCACCAGTGCACATTCCCCACCACCAATCTTCCCAGTATACCCCCTTTCCCCACCCTCCCCCCTGCCTGCACGGCAGACAATATTCCCCATACTCTCTCTCTACTTTTGGGCATTATGGTTTGCAATACAGACACTGAGAGGTCATCATGTTTGGTTCATTATCTGCTTTCGGCACACATCTCCCATCCCGACCGATTCCTCCAGCCATCAATTTCTTAGTGATCCTTCTGTATCCCAGCTTCCTTCTCCCCTCCACTCATGAGGCAGGCTTCCAGCTATGGAGCAATCCTCCCAGCCTTGTATCTACTGTCCTTGGGTGTCACCCTCATCTTATGTTTCAATTTGTACTTTCATAGCCACAAGCAGAATTCTACCTCACCCCCATTTACAGGTTAATTTTCTTGCCTGCCCATGATCTTTTCATTGTTTCTTTTTTCTTTTAAATTACGGTTTGATGCTCTTTATGTGGCATGATGTATAATTTTTTTTAAACTGTGGTTTGTAAATTTAGTTTTATCCTTCTGTGGTTTATGCAGTAATTTTGAAAAGGCCCCACAGTTATCAAAATTATAAAACTATTCCATGTTTTCTTTTATCAGTTTTAAAGATTTGTTTTTATCTTTTTGAAATTTAATTCTGCATTTGATACATGGATCTAAGGTTCCCATACAATATATATTGCCACTCTCACAGGGATCAATTCTGGTAGAGTTTGGGAACAGTATGTGGTGCTGGGCATCAAACGCCATTGTCGAGTGAAAGGCAAGCACTCAACCTCACTGTATTAGCTCTCCAACCCTTGAAACTTCTTATTCCTGATATAAGAAATTAATCATAGGCCCAAATGTCAAATTAAAAGCAGCAAGTAACTTAGAAAACATTGGAAATTATTGGCAATCTTGGGGTAGCCAGTAATTTCTTTGGATATTAAAATTATAAGTTATTAAGGAAAAAGGTCAACAGACGTGGCTAGAATTTAAAATCCCACTCTTCAAAATATACCACTAAAAAATTAAACAAAAAATAAGCAATAGTTGAGGGAAAATATTTATAGGACACAAATCTGAGAATGGATTTGTATCTAGAATTCATAAAAAAAACTTTTGAAATATTCAAGACAGTTACAATGTCACTATAAACAAGACATATTAATAGTATAGACACATAAAAGATGCTGAGCATCATTAAATTCTTAATAATAAACACACCTGCTAAACTGGCTGAAATTCAAAAGACCAGCAGTGACCTAATTCTAGAAAACATGCATGGATTAAAGAAAAAAAAAAGGGGGGGGGAGGTGCATTTAAAGAATTTCATTCATGAAAAATTCTGCAAAGGTCAAAATTATTCTACGGTAATGTAATGCAGATCACTGGCTACCTGGGACTGGAAACAGTGGGAAGGAATGAGTCGAATCCTTTGACTACTATGGAACGTGCCTAATTTGGGGGAGCAATAGTTTATATTTTGATTCTGAAAGGTCAACTGTGCAGCTTCTTAAACTCATCAATTTATGCACTTAGTATATATTTTATTATAATTTAGGTCTCAGGAACGATGAAACATGACCCAAGATCTGTATAATGAATGCTCAGATGAATCCATGACCCGATTTTAGTAGTTTTCTTTAAAAGCATTCAAATGCCACTCAAAACACCATGACTGTCATGACCAGAATGCTCACCATCGTATTGTAATAATTCTAAAGGCTGGTCAAAGAAGATGCATCTAACATGTGAGAATCAGAAACAGTATGACTGGTTAAAATTTGCGTAATTATATTCCATACCTCAAATGTGTACTTTTCTCTATTATTAAAGAGCATTAATATGGTCATCTGGAAAGTGGAGACTTGCAATATGTGCTTCCGCGTATTAGAGCCAGTTACTTGTGCCCCTCCAACACCAACTTCAGATCCATCCTCCTGTTTCATTGAAAATAAAGGTAAGATTATCTACTGGTAACTCTGGCCGTACGTCTGAAAAGTCAGTCCTATAATAATGTCCAACCTTCCCCCTTTGTTAAAACGATAAAACACTCCTATAGAAAAAGAAAATGCTACTTAAAAACGTAGATGCTTATATGTATGAGAATATTTTATAGACAGGAATCTTAGCATTGTGAACAAAAACTGTTTTTTATACTTACACCTAAGATTACTTAAAAAGTACACAATGAAGTAATAATGGATTAATTAGCACTGCCACTACACCGCCACCAAAGGTGTGCCAAGGAGTAGATACTCTTCTTATGTGATTCAATCAGTAAGGTCACACAAACCAGAGGATGGGAGAAGTGCATGAGAGAAAATTTCTGATATATTCCTGCTCTCTGATTTAAGAGGTCAAAACAGAGATTTAAGTCTTCGCTAGTATATGATTTGTAAAAACCCACTAATCTGCTTATAACATAAAATCACTGATTTCTGTTGAACATGTTTAAGAAAAATATTTTTCTTTAAAATAAAAACAAGCCCACTGAGCTAAGCAGAACAGGGAGGCTTCCCATGTGGCGTGTGGCTTCTCTCCCTCCCCTGAGGAGGCTCCGGACCCAAGTACTTGATTGACAGGAACCAGCGGCCCCAGGCTCCTGTCTCTCCTCTGAACTACACCCTGGGACCAGTTTCATTTCCTATGGGTGGAGACTGGGCGCCAGCAGCACAGTCTCCCCTCAGAGGCAAATAAAAAGTGCTTGACACTCAAAATCAAAACAAATCAAAAAACCCCAAAACAAAAACCAATAACTGAAATCTTATGTATACTTCCCAGTTACATAAAACAGTGTCAAACATTATTCAAGAAAACAATGGCTATTCATTTCAATTAAATATAATAATTAGAACATGTATAAGCATTTTAAATGCTACTTTAATAAACAGTGTTCTAGTGACATCATATCAAACTAGGAAGAATTAAAATATTGAAAAGCTTATCTACTGCCAGGATGACAAATTCAGTAGTTTTCCTTAAGCCTTGTTTAGAATTTATTTAACTTTGTACGTTAGAGCATGTAAAGTCTAATTTGACCTTATATCAGTAGAAGTGACAAGAATAAATATCACAATTTTAAAATGAGATACATATTTTTTAAAAACTTTAAAAAGTGGAGGAAATTCCTAAGTGTGTTTTTGTTATCGGTCACATCGGTAATGTTTTGCATTTCACAAATCTTAAGTATTAACTGCTTTGGTTTACTAGAAATAGGATTACAGGAGTCTAAGATTATGAAAATAACTGATAGCTTATATATTCCCTCAAATCAATTTAAATTATTTTACACAATGCTTTCTCAAGCCTCTCTTATAATAACGCATATAATTATCTTACTATTAGCTATTCCTTAAGAAAAATTGATAGCTAATCCTTAAGACAAACTACTGATAGACACTTTTAAGTTATTAGCAACTGAGGGTATAGAAGCAAATACATTCAAGTTTCCCCATCTAAAAATACCCGAAATAGGGAAAGAACAGAAAAATAATTTATTCAGGTCAACAAATCCCAGACCTATAGGCTACTTAAGGTAAACACATTCAGGCCATCAATATTTACCTTTTTTACTGGTCCGTAAAAGGTGGCATTGAGATCTGCGGAACCCATATGATGCTGGAGTGTGAGTTGTCGGCCACTGTGTTTGGCTAAGTAAAACCTTGAGCAAATCAAACCAGGTTTAGAAAAGTCAGACCATTTTTCATATTTAAAATTATAAATGACAGGAGGGTAATAATCCTTAAACATCATTAAAGGGAGACTTTAAAACTCAAAGAAAACTTTAGGAATCAAAGGCGGAAACAAAGCAAGGGACAGATCCAAGTAACTTAGCTGGCTGCTAAGTGATGAAGGGGGTCTACTCATTTTTACGGGTATACTTTGCCCCTGGTCTGCTGCTCAGTCACTGTTCAAAAGATCAGCTTGCTCAATGACAAACATATATAATAGTATATATAGTAGAAGGCATATCCAAGGGCCAGTGGGACAGTACAGTGGGTAGTGCGCTTGCCTTGCATGCACTTAACCAGGTTTGGTCTCTGGCACCCCATACGATCCTGAGCAATAGCTCAGTGGTTCCCGAATACTTTGATTTAAAATAAATAAATAAATAAAATACTTTACCTTCTAAATATCTCAAAAGCGTGTCTTGGTGCTGGTGGGATATTGCACTTTGGTGTGGCTGACTGAGTGGGCCAATATCCTGTCGTGAGCACCCGAACCGTGAGGTCAACACCACCTAAAGAGACCTGTGGAAACGGGAAAAAAAAGAAGTTTCCTCCAAATTAACTAGGTTTAGTATATCTGTCTAGACACTGCATTGAGTTTTCAAATTTCACAATCTTAAACGCAAACATTTCTAGTATCTTGGTTATATTCCAACAACATTTATACAGGACAGAGTAGATCCAGTTCTAGACACTGAGTGTTCTATAACTTCCTCTACAAAAACTATGTTCAGAAGAATCACTGCCACAATCAGAATTCCTTTTGTGACTGAGATTCACGGCTATTCCTAGACCATTGTTACCTAACCTATTTTAGTCTGTGATACAGGTTTTTAAGAGAAAGATAAATTTATAAATACCAACAAGCATTTCACTCACATTTCATCATGAATAGTAAATGATGATTCCACTTTAAAGAAATTAAAGCTAGAAATCTTAGCTGATGAACCTTTGGAGCTATTCTAGCAGATGATGAACAGAGAGTGTGAAATTGCCTATATGCGAGTGGGTAATGGATGTGTGGGATCAATGGATCGATTCAATGCAGCCAGACAATGATATCTCTGCCCTCTTCTCTATACAAAACATTTAGCTCCCTATCTTCAGGCCTTTCTTCCAAGTGTCACTTTCTGAAAGGAGGACTCTGACCACTGTCCCCTGCAACTCCTCCGTATCTCCTTATTACTCTAAGGTGCCAAGTGTTTCTCACCTGTAACTGGGTAGAATGTAACTTCCATCAAAGTAGGAATTTTTTGTTCATATTTAGCACAGACAACAGTGATAACTGGGGGGTGGGGGGCGGGAGGAGCCTCAAAAAACAACCTAGTGATTAACATTTCCTCATCCTAGCTACCTTAGTAGGATTTTGAAACCATGCAATTTGCTTATATTCAAAGATGACACATGACAGTAACATGTACACAGAAGTGGAATAACCAAGAAAGACTAGAACCATTCACATGATTTACAGATGTAACAGAATTGGTAGCAATCATGGATTATTTTGGCCCATTCACTTAAAAATACAAACAAAGGAAAAATAGACAAACCTTAAATTACTCTCAAATATGATACGTGTCTAAAGTGAAATATTCTAAAGTAGTATAAGACTTTTAAGAAATTACTTCTTTTATGACATTGATAGGGCTGAAGTGACAGCGCAGCAGGTAGGACGTCTGCCTTACATGCTGCCGACTGGGCCGACCCGTGTTCGATTCCTACAGCCCCTCGGAGAGCCTGGCAAGCTACTGAGAGTATCTCACCTGCATGGCAAAGCCTGGCAAGCTACCCGTGATGTATTCGGTATGTCAAACACAGTAACAATAAGTCTCACAATGGAGATGTTACTGGGCCCGCTCGATCAAATCAATGAATAACGGGAGGACAGTGCTACAGTGCTATGACATTGAAAAGCAAGTTAAGAACTCTTTCTTGGTATATTTCAATAAATCAAGAATCACTAAGGAAGTTACAGAGCATCAGCTCAAGAACTGGTAGTTTAAGAATGAAAAAATTTCAGAAAGCTCTGTTTTGACTATGCAACAATTATAAAACTGTCACTAACTACATACAAAGAATACCATACAATAAGTAAGTGGAAGTCATAATTGAAGAGCGATATAAATACTTGTTGTAGATAAATTATAAAGCATATTCTATGAGAGCACAAAATACATCTGATTATGATGAAACACTAAAAAAATCTGATTTTTTAAACTAAAGAAAATAACAGACTGATAAAATCCTTTCTCCACCACCTTTTAATCAAACAGCTCTACTTAAAGAAGGTAATTTTCACATCCAAGGTCTTCAGCCAACATAGGCATAGTAATTAGAAACTTAAAAAAAAAATCCTTTGTGATGTGGGCTAATCTCGCTGCTTTGAGATATCTCATTGTTCTTTTGATGTGATCAATCAGTTCCCCAAATGCATTTGCAAAATAGTCTATCTTTTGTTTCCTACCAAACAGCTTCATACTTTTTACTCCTTTATTGAAGATAAACTATCCACCTAAGGACCTATTTCTGGACTCTTCATTCTATTCTGCTGATGTAAAAGTCTGTTCTTATTCTGGTACCATACTGTTTGAATTACGATGGCTATTACAGTATAGTTTGAAAGTTGAAAAAAGAGAAGCCTCCCATCTTTTCCCTTAGGATTGCTTTGACTATTGGGGCAAAGGCTATTACTTCATATAAATTTTAATCATGTTTATTAAGACTTTTAAAAAATGTTGGTTTTCTTGAAACAACAATATCTTCACAAGCCAGCAATATTGACACACATCACAAAGTACAAAAATAATCCGTGTTAGTGTGGTTGTGTAGAAAAAGGGACACTCATTCACTACTGGTGGAAAAGAGGTCTAGGCCAAAATTTTGGAGAAATATGGACACTTCTCCGAAAACTAGAAATTAAGCGTTCATATGACACAGCAATTTCACTTCTGAACAACTACACACAAAGTTTAAATGAACTATGTCTACTGCAACACTTCACCACAGGCAAACTCTGGAAAGAACCCATGAGTCTAAGAACAAAGCCTGGATAAAGGAATTATGGCACATATGGAATATTACTCGGCTTTAAGAAAAATGAAATCATTCAATTTGCTGCTACATGGGTTTGATGAGTATCATATGCTGACTGAAATTAGCCAAGAGAGGAACAAAGAACAATCTCTCTGAGATAAGTGGAATATAAAATGACAAAGCAGGGATATGACAAAATGCCTAAAAGTCACAGAAACTAAGAACAGAACTGGTTTTTAGAGGAAACTTACCAAAGGTAAGGAAAGAGGACAGCACTGGAACATTGGTCAAGGCACATGGACACTGGTAGAGGGTGTGGTGGTGGAATGTGGCAAGCACGAAGCTCTAACATTAATAGTATTGTAAACCAATTATTCAGTTTCTACCCAACCAAATTTCTATTTATCACATTTTGTCGTTCCTGAACTCAGCCATTTTCCACTAGATAGACCATTCTCCACTTTAAAGACTTAAGAGTGGAGAATCATGTAACTATTTACATTAGAGACAGACTAGAAATCTCCCATTTCTGAACCTCCCTACCCCCTGCCATTTGTACAGAATTAGGTGTTTTCCCCTATCTTATTAGGAATGAGATTAAGGTATCAGAAGAAATAATTTTATATTTAAATATCAAAGGATTTTGTTACTTGCTGTGAAATGTCTGAAAGTGGTAGTCACTTAAAGAGGGAAAATTTCTTTTTTTAAAAAATTATTTATTTTTTGCCACAACCAGTAGTACTTAGGGCTTACTATTGGCTCTGCACTCAGGGATCATTCCCGGCAACACTCGGGGGGAACATATGGGATGTCAGGTATCAATCCAAGGCTGACTATGTGAGGCAAAAGCCCTCGCCATTGGACTATCACTCTGGCCATAGAGAGAAAATTTCCTAAAGAAAAACCGGTGTTCTAAAAATAAAATTAAAGTCAAACTTCTCTTCCAAAATTTCCACTGACTCACATACGCGAGTACCAATGGTGTTACGTTCACCTCATCCCTATCTGCTAAAGGATGCCATGGCCATTTATGCTGATCTGACAGATTATAGAGTACGAATACCACGGATTAGGAAAATCAGATAACTATTTTTAAGACAGCACAGTGCAGGAGTAGTGCATGTCAACTCATTTAGTTTGCCTTGACCTAGTACACTTTCTAGGTATACATTCTTGCTGCCACCAATATCATGGAAAGAAATGCCACCAGCTACTCATCTGATATATGGAGGAAAATGATATTGTAAGGTACTTTAAATGACATACGTAAGTAGAAATTAATGCAGGTTCTCACCCCAGTGGCCTGTAGATGTTGTCTGAATTCATCCATAGTTGTGTTTGAGATGCTCATATCCCTAAACATTCCTTCCAGTTTTGATGTGAACTGACATCCACATTCAGTCTGTGGAAAAAGGAAACATTTATAAATGACAGATTTTCCTGAGAGAATGCACAAACTGATTTCACTTTACTGCAATCTTTCTGAATCTGAGTGTTTAAGCTGTTGGACAGCGAGAGCTCAACAGCCTAGAGGACCCCCCCAATACCATGCTGTGAGTGGCCCCCAAAATAATAGGCCAATAATTCTATTTTAAAGTAAAGAATCTCAGACTCAGGAGATTCCAAAAACCCTTTAGGGAAAGGGCAAGTTCTGCGCTTCAGGGGATACAGGCAGTCCACAGGTCACACTGAGTGTAACAATACTATAGGGCAATACTCCCCTTAGTAAGATTTGATGACATCATCAGCACAGATTTTATGCCCCTTTCAAATGTGCACTTCCAAACTGAAAGAATTTCCAGAAAAACTCAAAGTTCCAGATCTTGAATAAATGTATATAGACCATTTAAAAGAAAATCTAACTATTAAGATAATCATAAGATTAATACTAGCACTCTTTTTTCTTTCTTACATACAGCTTACCTTTAATTTAGATATCATATTTTTTTCAGAGTCATCTGAAACACTTTTGTTTGTGAGAAGCCTCCGTGCCAAGTGTTGTTTATAATAGCGTTCAAATACATCTTTTTCTTGCATAAACCTAAAAAGGACCATTGCTTTATCCAATATTGTTTCTACTTCTTGTTCTGTTAGCTGAAAAATTAATTAGAAGACTATTTAACAATGTTTTATGAGTTTTTGGAGTAGCACCAAAGTTCATGCACAGTTCAAGAATAACACTAGTTGAAAACAGGTTTGGCTAAGATACATCAACCAGAAGGGGTATCTGGTGGGCGAAATGCATCCTACTTCATACAGTAACAAGTACAATACTACATCTTCATCTAACAGAGTATCAACAGGGGTTGGAGTAAAGTCCCATTCTCCAGAGGACCACCACTGAACAGAGGGAAGGATCAATTATTAGAAATGGCTGCATTAAAAAATGGATGAGAACAAGTGAAATAAAAATTTTATCACACATACTTTGTAATGTCCTTGTACAAAAATCAGACAGAAATAAACATAGCCAAAAGGCAGAGACACCTTCATATAAGCTTCATATAAGGTAACACTGTTGTAATTCTTACGAGCAAAACGATCCCTTGCTTTCTATGGGTGAAATGATGCTGTGACAGGCTAGATTAAGCGTGTGTTAAAATGCACTAAGAGTAGACAAATGTCTCTTCGGTGTGTCTGTGGTGCTCCTCACACACTTTAAGTGAGCTGCCAGAGAAACCTGTTGCTTTCCCCCATTCCCTCACAAGTTCTGAAATGAAGTAAACACCACTAGGTTATGTGTGCTAGCAATAAGCTTAATTTTATTTTCTAAGCTATAGTGAGCTTCCAAGACCTCAAATACTTTGGGGGGGGGTGTAGAATAACAACTTTGGCACAAGATTTCATCCATCTTTTGACAGCTTGTCAAGATTATGACTTCAGATTCTTGATATTCACATACTATTTGATATATAACCCCCCCGTACTGGATTAGATAAAGGTAAAGGTAAAGGCCCTCCCGTTGATCATCGATTTGCTCGAGCGGGCCCAGTAACGTCTCCATTGGAGATTTTGTTGTTACTGTGTCTGGCATATCGAATACGTCACGGGGAGCTTGCCAGGCTCTGCCGTGCAAGCGAGATACTCTCGGGAGCTTGCCGGGCTCTCCGAGAGGGGCGGAGGAATCGAACTCGGGTCGGCCATGTTGGCTGCGTGCAAGGCAAACGCCCTACTGCTGTGCTGGAGCAGTATTTTGTGCTACCCATATTACCTTATGAAGCATCAAATCTTCACTGTCTACCAATGAATTTGTTTTGCTGTCAGTTATGTAAGCGAAACGTTGAAATATTTTGTTTGTTTTTGGGTGGGCCAAGGGCTTACTCGTGCAGGGATCACTCGTGGCAGATTTGGAAGGCCATATGGGGTGCTGGGGATAGAACCCAGATGGGCTCGATCCAAGGTAAGTGCCTTATGTGCTACACTATTGACTGATACAGGGGCAGTGTAAGGGAATGAGAGAGTGAAAGAAAGCCAGGTGAATGTAGTGGAATTTAAATCTCATCCATGGAACAGGTAGCCAATCAAAATAGATCATTTTACCTGTCAGCAGATAAAAGGAGGCCCCACTCTGCACACAACCAGGTAGAAGGCTGATCAGGTTGGGGCAGAATTCAGGCTGGGCTCAGACACCCAGGAACGCTCAGATTCAGGCAGGGCTTGGACACCTAAGCAGGGGCAGATACCATGCATAGGAGTCTCAACTGTGCGCACCATGGTTATGCCCACAGACTAGGATAGCAGGAACAGGAAGCCAGGAACTGCTGGGGTACAGCCAAGCGGCCCAGGTGACAGGCACAGAGCCCAAGGCTCTCGCTCATGTGCAGGAGTCTGGAGACTAAGGGAAGTTAAGGCGAGATGTCAGGGAACCACTCGGACAGAGTCTGGGAAAGGGCCAGGGCCAGGATTTCAGAGTAGGAAAGTGTCCATGCCATAGAGTGATCCAAGATGGGACTGGGCCATCACACACCAAGCAGGTCGAGTGGTGTCATTCATGGTTAAAGGAGGGACCTCGATATTTGGGGAAGGACTCAAACTCATGTACTTGAACTGTACAATAAATCCTAAGTTTTAATCTTCCAAGTTTTGTGTGCAATCTTTCATTCAATTCTCAAGAATATAGCAGCGCAAGAATATCCACTTTCACACTAACACTATCACTGCGGCCCTGGAAGTACTTTTGACCATTACAATCACTTAAATCCTTTTCAAAGATCCCTGCACATATTTAAGTACGGCCAAAAGGTCACGCTTCATTTTACAGGCATAAAAAAATCCAAATTTTATGCAAGTTTTATACTACTAATAAAATTTAATGTATCTTCAAATGCGTTCATACTTACCCCTTTAACCCCCTTTTTCAGCTTATCATCAATAAATAATGAGAGGTATTCAGGGGACCGGGAGTTGAGGTTGAGAAAATACTCAAAATCGCCCGCAATCGTCTGTTTAAATAGCCGATCATTATTGAACGATTCCTGGAGAAAGCGATCAAACCTGCTCTTCAAATCCAATAAACCCTTTCAAATAAAAACACAAAAAATTTAGTATGCACTGTTTTTCTATAAATTATAAATTTATGAGCATGTTTTTCTTATATTTACTACTAATAAAGATGTACTCTATATTGAACTTACAAATTACCTATCACAAGCCTAAATATACATGTAAGCCTGAAAATTTGCTGTGATGAAAAATATTTTAGCTTCCACTTACATATTATTCTATAAAAGATAAACCTAAGAGTCACCTCGCTGCTTCTCTCCACTTTTCTACCTTAACTGAATGACACCCATATACTGGCTCTAACAATATACGAAAGAAGTTGATTTTCAATATTAAAGCATGAAAAGCTTGAATATAATTATTGTTTGGAACTAAAACTGTGGGAAATCTTCCCCCTAACAGCAAAACAGGTTTAGTTTACTTTAGACATGAGGGCCAAAATGTGCACCAAAGCAAGAATAGTACCAGAAATTACTACGACCTTAAGACTATATATAAAGGCGCTTGTTGCAAATGCTTCATCACATGGCCATCTATGTAAATTTCCCAGCTTTTGTTCTAAATGTACCTCCCAACTGTTCTTAATGTGCATGCAAGTATGGCTCAGGAAGGCTGGGCCGGGGAGCAGAAATTGTGTCAACAAGCAAGCAGCCAGCTTATCCGCTGGTTCAGGCTGTCCAGGTTAGCTTACAACTTGCACCAGCCAAAGTTATCTGTCTCATTCTTTGCTACTGATCCTGTTGGACAGAGGTCAAGTTGCTAATCCAAGTGTCTTTATTGTGGCAAATCACCACATTTGTAACTAGCTATTTTCCCTGACAATTGGGCCAGAGAGGTAGTACAGGAATTAGTGTGCTTGCCTTACATGCAGCAAATCCTGGCTCAATCCCTTCTTACAGTCAACTCCTTGCACTGACTCTGGAGCAGAGTCAAGAGTAAGTCCTGAGTACGGGTGACCCACCTCCCACCCCCCAAATAGTTTAACTTTCATTCTTAAAAAATGGTTACCATACAAATGTGCATATGGAATGCTAAAATGCACAATTACATTAGGACAAGAAATAAAAATATATGCCCTGTAGGGGTAACATTTCCAGTACTTGTCAAAATTTATCATAAACATCTTAAAGAGAATCTTTAGAGTATTTTCTTACCTGGATATAGTCAACAGGATTCTTTCCTTCTCCCTCCTCTGAAACAAGGGCTTTACCTTGCTCCCTTAAGTAGGAACTCATACACTCACACATTGTTTTCAAACCATTTGGCACACGACTAAATAATTTGTACATGCAAGCAAGATCTGCAATAAGAACATACAAATGGACATTAAAAGTTAAGAAGGGGCTGGAGTGATAGCACAGCGGGTAGGGCGTTTGCCTTGCACACAGCTGACCCGGGTTCGAATCCCAGCATGCCATATGGTCCCCCGAGCACCGCCAGGAGTAATTCCTGAGTGCATGAACCAGGAGTGACCCCTGTGCATCGCCAGTGTGACCCAAAAACAAAAAAATTAAAATAAAAGTCAAGAAAAAAATGGAACCTGTGTCCATGCTGATTTGTGATACTCAGAGAAGCTTGATTCTCCATTATTATTTGCTAAACACACACATACACAAAAATACAATGAATTAAAAATAAATGAAAAACTTTTTTTTTTGAAAAGTGCTTCCAGATGAGATGCTTTGAAAGTACCAATAAATTTATCTAAGCAAATTTAATTTACATGGAAGAAAAGGGGCCCAAGTAGCTTAATATATAAAAAGAACAGGAACAACAACCTGAAGCTTGGGGTTCCTACATAATTTATTCTATAAATTTCTAATCTAAAACCTAGTGCTACTACAAATATCTATCAAAAGGAAAACTTACGGTGCAACTTTCTGTAGTCAACATAGCAAGGAAAAAACTTTTAAAACCAGTAAAACTGCAGGTATTTTTAAGCATTATCTAAAAGGTGTAGATGGTCGGGCTGGTGTGTGCAAGGCTTAATGTTTGATCCCTGACACTGTACAGTCTCCCTGAGCACTGATGGGTCTGAGAACCAAACACCTTCAGTCCCGCGCCAAAATCTCCAGGACAGATACCTGGGCATGGAACACCATTCTGGAGCCATGTCTGCTAGTGCCCCCTATTTTCTTTTTTTAAAAAGGCTCGGATGACAAAAATGTATACTCCATGGATTTTTTTGGTTTTTGTTTGTTGTTCACTCGCAGAGGGGCTTCAGGGGTCATACAGGGTGGCGGACATCCCTAGCTGACCCTTGCAGGGCACATGTCCTGCCTGTTGTAACACTGCTCTAGGACCTCGGATTTTCGACTTCACGTATCACTGCAAAGTCTACATAAACGTACAGATGAATTTCATATTAACATTTTCTTCAAGCAATTCCTAGTATTTTCCAAGTGATTCAAAATTATTTTCCATATTGAAATTTTGGTTTATATCACTGTATTATTTTTTTGTTAGAAGAAAAACACTCTGGATGCCCCATGTGATGTGATTTCTCACAGATTAAAATGTGGGCTTAAAAGAGAGCAATTCCATATTTAGTGTTTCTCTAAAATAACCTATTTTTGTCAAGCTTAAATATACAAAAAAAATGTATAATTAAGAACAGAAAACTGAGGTTTTGAAAAACAGTTAGAATAGAACTTTCTAGCTAGGTGGTTGGAAAACTCTTGCTTGGAAGGAAACAGATAGCAAATATTTTAGACTTGTGGGTCAAATGATCTCTGATGCAACTCCTGAACTTTGCAACTATAGCAAGAAAGAAACCATAGATAATACAACATGAATTGAGCACATAATAAAACATAAAAGAAGATTCAAATTTACACAACTGTCAGAGAAAATGTACAAGTATTTTTTTATGTCTCCCCCCCCCCCCCCCCCCGCCAGGTTTGGTAAGCCGATTTGGAAGATAGGCTATAAGCTTCCTACCCTGTTTTTGTAAGCTTGATTTAAAACCTAAAATTAAATTTGTATGAATTTTAAAATGATTAGGAGCAAGTCTTAAGAAAGGAGAATTTATTCCAGTGACCTTGAAAGCACATTTTAAAAAAACAAGTTTTTTAAATAATATATACACAAAATAATTTATACAGGGAAAAAGAAAATTTTAGTTTCTCACTTTGGCATGAATTACAACCAAATCTCCTATGTTCAATAAAGACATTACAGGAGCAGGGGCGCTAGTACAACGGGTAGGGCCTTTGCCTTGCAAACAGCCGACCTGAGTTCTAATCTCTGGCATCCCATATGAGCTCCCAAGCACTACCAGGAGTAATTCTGGAGTGCAGAGCCAGGAGTAACCCCTGAGCATTGTTGGGTGTGAGCCGAATAGCAAAAAAGAAAGACATTACAAATGCAACAGCAATTATGAACTTTACTGTAGTAAATTCGACATTCTGAACATCTCTAATAAAATAGTTCCCAACCTGCCTTTTTCATTTTGCTTAGTTATGTTATATATCTAATTAGATGTAAATTAGTATGATTTCGCTGTATTTAATCGTATATAAATGTATGGTATGGTAAAAATAAAATTCAAAATATTAATTACCTCTGTATACACATAATAAAAATGATATGCCAATAACTTAATTGCCTAGTGCCATCTGCATCTAACAATCAATCCAATTCCTCCTTCACTCACAGTGGGAAAACTGCTTGACTTGATGACTTATGAAATACTTAGCCTCATAATGGTGAAGGGATGGCACTGACATGTTTCACTATACTGCTTAACCAGGGACTAGCACAGTCAATACAGTTCACATTTAGGAAAACTAAACCCAGGATTTTAAAATTTAGAATCAGTGTCAATTACTTATTGAAGACTTTCAGTAGACTATGGTAACGATTCTGATTGTCTTCAAATATGTACTTATTAAGCACTCGACATTTGTAAGGCATTTTTAATAACTTTCCATTGAGATTACTGAGAACAAATAATTCAGGCATACCGCCAAATTTTCCCAAATATTTCCTATCCCCAATCTCCCCAGTAGGTTAAGAAAGTTGATCAATAGTTTATGAGGAGTTTGATCAAGTTTGTTTTAGAGTTTGATCAATTCTCATTTTGCTTAAGCAGGAAACTGCCATTCATACAGTTCTAGCCCCGCAGGAACTATGTAGCTTAGCACTTGTCAAATTAAAGAACATGGTCAAAGATAGCTTGATGCCTATATTTGTACAGCCCAGAAACTAAGACTGGTTTTCGCATTTGTAAATGACTGAAATTAAGTCAAGGTTTTACAGGAACACAGTAAAGTGTATTCATTTGTGTTATTATCAGTGGCTACTTCCTCTCTATGACAGAAGATTAGATGCTTACTACATGGTCCATAAGACAAAGCATTTGCTGCCTAGATTTTTACCAAAAAAGTAAAAAATAAAAAAATTAAAAATAAAAATAAAAGCGCCACCCCCTAACTTGACATCCTGGAATTTTGGGAGGGTCACACTGGCGGTATCCACAGGTTCCAATGCTCATAGGTAACTTGGTGGGCTTGGGACCGAACCAGGCGATCCCTCATGAAGAGTTCTCAGCCTGATGGGCTCTCTCCGTCCTGGTCTTTCTGTTTTATCAGGTATATGTATCATAAAGGTTTAGAAAGCAACTCTCTTCAGTTCAATTAAAAAAATGATTCACATCTTTTCAAGAACCTACTGCATTTTACAGCCATATTTATGTAACCATTTTAAAACACAAAGGATTTAACCAAAGGAAGCATGAACAATCTCTCTTCCTTTCAGCCTTCTGTTTCCATTTCTTAGTCACTTTTTAACACTAGGCCGGAGAGAGTCAGTGGTTACGGCACAAAACCTTGCATGTTGCTGCCCTTGGATCAATCCCCAGCACCACATGGTCACCTGAACATCCCGGAGGGTCCATGCATGAGCACAGTATCCTTACGCCTCATACTGAACTGCAAGTCTGAGTGGCTGAGAATAACTGGGAGTCCCTGTCCCCCAAGGATAAAAGCGAATAAAATAAATCCTGTATGTAACCACCCCATTTTCTATCTATAATTTTAGAGTTCTTCAAACCAAAGAACTAACTTAGCTAAATTACGTCAACACAGAAGACATACTTCTGCTTTTCTGGAATCCTTAGTAGACTAACTCCCTCAGGAAAACATGCAAAAACTTTTTAAAGATTGTAACTTCAGATTTTAGCTTATTGCAGTTTAGGGGACTCATACATGTAAGGCAAATGCTCTACCACTAAACCAATCCCTAGACCAAACTTTTAGATTTAAAAAAAAAAAAAAACAACTTTTAGTTTGGGGTATTTGGGACCAAACTTGGTGCTCCTAAGGGCTTGCTCAGGGATCATTCTTGGGAGGCTCAGGGGACCACATGGAATACCAGGACATGTATCCTGATCAGTTGTGGACAAGGAAGTGCTCTCTGTACTATTGCTCTGCCCCTCCTCTAAACCTTTAAATTTTAGAAGAATTAGAGGAAAGCATTTGGGAATGGAAGCAGTTCTAATTCTCTGCTGTATAAAAACTAAGGGATAATAGAGTTCATTCACTTCACACTGATATTAATCTTCTGGGCTGAGAAAAACATGAAGGAGGCTTAAGGTGAAAGAGTAAAAGGCCTCTCTACATGCACCAGACTATCAAAAAAATTTCATTAAGAAGTCCAAAGTTTTAATATTAAAACCAACCAACTTTACAAAGTACTACAAAGAAATAGCAACAAATTATTGAAACACACCACAATACTTATATTGTATTGCAATTAAGGGAGAAAGTAAATTACTGAAAAGCTGATTTAATTATTTTTCAAGTTCTAATACTTACCTTCTGTCTTTCCATTTTTCAACATATGTACTAGCCCAGAATTTTCCATTTCTACAATAGTTTTCATGTGCTTAGAAATGAGTTCCCTCTCAACCACCTTTACAATGGGCTCTTCAGTTGATTTGTCAAGGCAGTGCATCACCCGTTCTATTTCTTCATTAATTCTAGCTTCTACTTTCTTTATATATACGGAAGCACTGTTTTCTGCTAAAAATTTCTGGCTTTCCATCTGCAATTAAGAAGCATTTTTTAAAAAATGCAGAAGCAAAAGGTGCTTTTGCTTTTGTCATAAACCAAGCTCAGTAACATGCACACTCTAACATTTTCTAGTATGTCTTACAAATTTTACAAAGTATTACTTACACAGACTAAATGGTTAAGTTATCCTTAAACAGTGTTTTTCAAACTTTGCTAATGTACTCTGAAAAGCAGAAAAAAGCAAGCATTTTCAAGCCAAGGCTCAAAAAGCAGAATGAAGCATCTGACATCAGGAATGGGAATATGTTTAGATCTTTCTTCATCTAAGTTTCATATAAAATTATACTTAGAAATGATCACAGACTTACTGGCAAATTGCTAGTTACCAAAGTTTCCCTCTAAGCTTCATTCCCAGTCTCAAATAGTACATACATATACACTGAAGTCTGAGAAATAGATCTTAGCTCCAAAGACCTGGATCAAACCAGGGCTGGCTGCATGCAAGGCAAAACGCCCTAAGCCCTGCATTTATATTTAAAAAGCTTACTATTGAAGTTACAGAATACTTTAGGTTCATATTCAACTAAGCTTTGTGGCAATACAGTGAAGTTCCTGCTACAAAGCGCATATTAATAAAAGCTTTTTCAAAGATCTCTGGCTACTACTATATTGTACTGATCGTGGAACTTATTTGAGTTACTGTTAGCAATTGTCACTAAAACTTAATACTGCTGTGGGGCCACAATGGACTCAGAGGTATAGAGCACTTGCCCTGAATATGTAAAGTCCTGGGTTTGATTCCCAGTGACACTCCGAATCTTTGTCAAATATGACTTTTCACTTCACTTTTAGCAATTTAATTGGATTTTGGTACTCATTTATCTATTAACTGTACTACTGACCTTTTATAATCTCAGGGCTAGGATGAAAGAGACGTTACTGGGGCCTGCTCGAGGAAATCGATGAATAACAGGATGATGAAATGAAATGAAAAAAACTGACCTTTACTTTTCCTGATCACCATTCTTTAGGATTATGGAATCATGTATATTCCTTGATTTTATTGTATTTTAAAGCCTGAACAGAGAAGTTTCTACTAGCAATGAACAGTTGAACACCTTAAGAAAGCATTTATTTTCGTGAATTACCTGAAAAAATTCTGCAGACATTTCCAAAAAAGGAGCCTCAAAATCTTCCTCATATACGGATCGTCCTTCAAGACCTAAAATCATTAACATCTGGCAAGCATTTCTTATTGCGCCTCTGTCAAAAAAAGTTAAACCACTTGATAATCAAATTACATTAAAGATTTGTGTAAAACTGCAACAGGAAAATAGCTGGATCATGTGCAAATGGAAATGCGTATCTTCGAGCAATTCCACTTCTGAGTGTTTTTCCAGACCATGAACACAAATTTAAGAAGGTTATACACATATATGTTCACTGTGGCATTATTTTCAATAACTAAAATATAAAAGCAACTAGACATTAATGCTGTATTGATAAAGTACATGTACATGTGGCTTACATATAGACAATGAAATACTATCATCCAGCTTAAAAATAATTGAGGAGTAAATTAAATAGCGATGGAAGTAAACTTTCGATGGTGCTCAATATATACATATATATATCAAATTTAATGATGTATAACTTAAACTTATACAATACTTTTAGAGTAATGTTACTTCAGCAACAAAAGTTTTTTAAATCGTTTATCTAGCTCTTTTCCTCAGTTTTTGGGAAGCAATCTTTAAATCCTTTGATTTTCCCAAGTGACAGGAGTGGTTTTGATAGCCATTGTAATCTCTTGATGGTTTATACTAATGAATTGGCACATAATAGAGTCCCGGACTCTTACATTGGGATCACTCAGATGGTACCACCCCCAAACCTCACCCATAGCATCTCTTACTTTGACTAATATTATTTGTATCTTTTTATTATAATAAACTATAATCCTAAGTGTAAAAAAAAGAAGGTACAATAGTAGCTATCAAATTTCAGAGCACTATTTTATCAAGATGCCCAATCTACCAGAAGCATTTTGTTAATAAGATTAAGGTTTCAGATTAAATTGGAAAGCAGATCTTGATTGTTAAGGCAATTTACAAGTTGTTCTCACCTAGTATAACTTAAAATTTTTAAGTAAATATATCCAAGATGTCCATGTGTTTATTCTAAAAAAGAGGTAAAAGGGGTGTTTACTGAGAAAAACAAAATAGGAGAGAAAATTTTTTTTCTGAACATGTGAACAATCAAAGAGACGATCTCAATATTTGGTACCAAATGATTTTGGGTGTTCATGATCAAGAATCATAGTGGAGAGAAAAAAAATTTACAAATTCCCATCTAACAGCTGCTCTGAATACAGACAAGCAATCTTGCTTAAGTTTCAAGTTTTTCTGGCTAAAGTGTAACAAAATGGCACTAAACTCATTTTACCATGGGGGGGGGGGGGGGGACAAAAGAAAGAGATTTAACAGGAGGGTGCTGTTTCCTTTTAACAGATAAAGGATCAGAGCTAGACAAAAAGTCCTTAAAATGCAGCAAAGGAGAAAAATGCTAGCATACGTTTTCAACATGACAAAAATCAAAAGGGAAGATTGGAATGGCTGCTCTGTTCGATTTTTAAAGTACATTTTAAAAAAACAAGATGGTCTCTTCCAAAAATACATGTGCTCTTAAGTAAAAAAAATAATCAATTTCGTTAATTTAAAACGTTTGAAGATTTCCACACTGTATTCAAAATCAAATTTAAATTCTAATAAAATTAGGAAACAATTTAGCTCTCAATGTGTATTCACTGAAGACCAAACCCAGAATGAAAAGATGATCATACCTGTCTACAACTTCTCCTTTCCGCTCTCTTGCAATCATATCCAATAGTGTTTGTCGTAGATGATCCCTAATACACCCATATCGTACAACTTGATCTCGAAAAATAATTAATCCCAAATTGTAGACATTCTCCACATTATTTTGTTGTACATATACACGGTCCTGCAGTTAAAACAAAATCACATAAACATGAGTACAAGTTCTTGCAAACTAAAAACAGTCACTGTATGCTACAATAATGCATAGAATAGAATTCCGAAATCAAGTTTCCACTTCAAATGATCTTCAATAAGATGAAAATTACTTAATCTCTTAAGTTAAAAGCCTGAACAAATGTTATTAAAACAAATAGTGGGAAGAGAAACTGTTTACCCTAAGGAAAAGAGGAGAAAGAAATCACACCAGGAAGAATCAAAGACACTGACAACCAGAGAGAAAAGGAAGAGAACGAGGGTCCAGAGTGCTAGTCCAGGGTCAAGGCACAGGCCCTGCACACGACCCAACCAGGTTAGAGCCCAGTACCACAGGGCCTGAGTAGAGTAGCATGGGGTCTGGGGGCCCTCAAAGGCCTAAAATGAGGGTCCTCCGGATTCCCTAACACTACATCTGAATGTCCTCTTCTCCCCAGTCTTTGTCTCCCAAAGTTGTACCATGGCCAAAAAAATCTGTTTTACCTTATTTAATACTGTATTTGAAGTTCCATGAAATAAAAGCTTAATGAAAAACATCATTACGTTGACTTAGGCTGACTACTTACAGGTACGTATTAAAAGGTTCTAAAGGCTTAAACTGAGCTGCCAAATTTGGGAGGGAAAGGAGGGTAGGGTACACTGAGCAGTGCTCAGAGCTATCTGACGATGGGGGCATGGGGGGATACGCAGGGCGAAGGACTGAACCAGCGCTGGCTTCCTGTAGGCAAGCACCTTAGCGTTTATCTCTGGGGCTCACACCACTAAGCATCATAGATTTAAAACACCTCCAGTCTGTATCACTCTAACAGATTAATGACTGGCAGTCATTTCTTTTTCCCAACATAATCACAGGCATCTCATTCTCCCAACATAATCACAGGCACAGAACCCCAGAATTACTGGCAATAAACACTATTTCTACATAATTTGAAAACTCCCAGTTATACCAAAATATACTGAAATGTAACTTTTTAACTCACAAAGTATCATTCCTTTCAGGATATTTTCTTTTGAGGGCCACATCTACTTGTGCTCAGGGAGCATACAGGGTGCTGGGAATTGAACCCAGGCTCACCGCTACACAGCAAGCACATCACCAGCTGGACTACCTCACCAGTCTCCTCCTTTTAGTTCTTAATCTGCTGGCTTTGGTAAGCTATAAATTTCTTAAAATGTTGAATGACTGGGCCAGAAAGATAGTACCGAGTTAGTGCCTTACATGCGACCAACCCAGGTTCAATCCCCGAGTGCAGAGCTAGGATTAAGCCTTGAGCACTGCCAGGTGTGACCCAAAAATCAACCCTAAAATTACGATACTGCATGTTTGTGTATAAAGAGGCACTCACAGCTTTCATTGGATTCCTGAAGGCATCTAAATCAAAACAGTTAAATACCACCATTCATTACAAGCAACACTGAACAAAACTATCAGATGAACAAGAACAGAAGTTTAATAACCACATGGTATTGATCAGCCATTCAATTAATTTTATATAAAAGTAGAACTTCTTCCTATGACATCATTCCTCCAAACTTCCATCACTCATTTTATACAGAGGTACATAAGTAACAGCTACAAGGAAAGCTGCTCATCTATTAACATCTGTGATGGTTTAACGTTCTGACACTGCAGTATAACCTTGGCTAAGTTCTTATTTTTCAAATCCTGACATCAACTTTAGCGAGCTCAATTTTTTCACTGGTAACTTCTCCATTAAGTTCTTGGACTTCACACAATTATTTTCATTTTTGGTCACACCTGATGGTTACTAGGGGCCATTCCTAGCTTGGGGTTCTAGGATCACTATGAGGGTCACTGGTGCTTCAGTCTCTTGGGCTATCAACTCACCCAAATTCCCACTTTCAAGATTTCAAATTCCCAGTTTTCCCCTGACCACATCAGCCCTCCTTTTAATGACTTTTTAAAATTTTCAACTTACGATTTTTCGGGAGGCAAAGGGTAGGGGATTGAGTTATACCCAGTGGTCTGCACGGGATCTGATGCCCAGGATTCCACCCAGGGTTGTGGCTCATCCAGCACTGTCCCTCCTACACTAATGTTCTCCAGACCCTATTTCTTTGTAATAATGCTACCTTTATTCTTGTGACCATTAGGCCAAACCTGTCATTCTAATTTTCATTCACCTTTCAGCACAAAACAAGATGTATTCAATAACAGCTGTCACAGCACTGTCCACTGTCCTCCTGCTGTTCATCGATTTGCTCGAGCAGGCACCAGTAACGTTGTGAAACTTGGTGTTACTGTTTTTGGCATATCGAACACGCCATGGGGAGCTTGCCAAGCTCTGCCGTGCAGGTGGGATACTCTCGGTAGCTTGCGGGGCTCTCTGAGAGGGGCGGAGGAATCAAACCCAGGTCTGCTACATGCAAGGCAAATGCCCTACCCGCTGTGCTATCACTCCAGTTATTGAATAGTAACTGTCATAAAGCTAGAAATTTTAAAATTACTTGAAAAATTTAAAAATCCTGTTTCAAAATAAATCCCTTTTATTTGAAAAAAATCATTCCACTGCATTATTTATAAGTTAGATTTTCGTAGTTTTATGAATTTTCATGGTACAGTAAAGTGCCACCATTCTAATCCAATGACATCTATATCGGTATATGGTCAGTTAATTAAAGAGTTGATGAGGGACTAAACACACACACACACACACACACACACACACACACACACACATCTACAATCCTTAATGTTTTAATTTAAAATACATTCAGCTATTAAGACTTTCTTTTAAATATAAGAAATGAGTTCAATATAGATACAAACACAGATACACATATCTACTCTGATGCATTAACAGTTTTTAACTTTCATTAGTCTAATGAAGATGAAGCATAAACAAGGAATATTTTTTATGTAAAATCCCTTCTGAGATTTTACGATTTCCACTCCAATCTGTTAAATTATCCACACCTAATCCAAACCAAGAGCAATATGCCTTATCAAAATATTTCTGAAACGTTTGTTTCAAAACATTCATGGTTCAATTTACCATAGAATAAACTCAGACACTTTACACCATTTTATTCATTTATACAGCATCAAATTATATAACAGTAACAGGCATAACTGGCATAAAACAGGTTTGAAAACATAACTGATAGAAAGTACACAGATGAAGTATCAAGAGCAAAGCAGAAGACACACTGCAAAGCTGTTGAAGTGTGGAAGTGCTAGAGTAAGAAGTGCTGGCAATTCTGGCAAGTCCTTTAAATTTCAACTGTCATAAAAACCCACGAGACATTACACAAATCTTGTAGGGGAGACAGAAAGAAGGATGGAGCAGAAGAGGATGCATTTGAGCAAACTAAACTTAATATATCCACTTTAGATCTTTCATGAAAATAAAACTTTAAGAGATACATTAAAGAATTAAATTACATTTTAATTGCTTTTGGTGGAATGGCACAACCTATAAAAATCTCAAAACAGAGGACACATGACATATTTGCCAGTAACTTCTCAATAAGCGTTTAATTAAGGATGGAATCATTTTTAAAGCGCCTCCTCACCCCACCACTTTTGAGTCTTATTCCAGCTTGATTTGTATTATCATAAAATTCACTGTCTTTAAAAGTAGAGCTCGATAATATTAGCTTTATAACTACTGCCACTACCCATTCTGGAATGTTTTCATAACCCGCCCCCAAATTCACTCCTGTTCATTTGCGATCAATCTCCATACCGAGCAACCCCTGCTTTCTATCAATTTCCTTTTCTGAATATTTCCTATAATTGGGACTATATAATGTACTCTTTTGTGCCCAATTTTTCACTTTGCATTAAACTGCTATGTGGCTCATTGTTGTTGTTTTGGTTTTGTTTGTGTTTTGGACCATCCCAGCAATGCTCAGGGGTTACTCTGGCTCTGCACTCAGAAATTACTTCACCAGTTTGGGGACCATATAGGATGTGGGGGTTGAATCTGAGTCGGGCACAAACAAGGCAAGTACCCTACCTGCCATTAGTATTCTCTCTCCAGTTTCAATGGTTCAGTCTGAACAGTATTCCTTTACATGGATCTGCCATATTTAGTTTAGCCATTGACCAGCCCGTGAGTATTCAAACCTATTTTCTGTTGTGACTGTGGCCACAATCCTCCTTTCCTGGGGCATTCTGGCCATACCTGGTGGTGCCTGTGGGCTACTACTTGGTTACTCCCAGCTCAGTCAGTGTTCAGTGGAGTATGCAGTACCGAGGATCAAACTCAGGTCTCCTACATGTAAAGCCCATACTCGGCCCATTCAATTGTTCTATGGTCCCATTTGGGCACAAACCTTTTGTGAACGCAGACCTGCATTTACCTTAAACATATTGGTAGCAATGTAAGCACTGGGTCATATGAAAACTGTCTTATCTACTGAAAGTAGATACATCAGCCACACTAAGTTCTTGAATAGGAAAACTGTTGTGGAAAAAACTGGATATTAAATCAGAAATTCTTCATGTAATTTCAGTTCTACCATTAAATGGCAATGAGAGCTTGAGGAAGTCACTTACCACTCTATCAAGCACAAAGGGCTGGTAAAGATAACCTCAACTCTAATATGATTTCCTATGACCGTAACATTCAACCAAGATGTATTTTCCTCTTACTCTTTCCATTTCTACTTCTTACCAATCTCCTCTAGCTCTTAGTTCCCCTTCTCAATTCTATGCAGACCGATGCTATTACTACCAAAATAAAGAATATTTAACGTTCAGGACTATGGAGTACAGGGCTTGTTAAGGTGCTTGCCTTCAGATGTAACCAATTTCAGTTCAATCCCTGGCATCACGTATGATCTCCCGAGCGCTGCCAGCAGTGATCCCCAAGGCCAAAGCCAGGAGTAAGCTATGAGCACTGTCGGATGTAGCCCCGAACATCTCTCCACTCCTTTTGCAAAAAGAATATGCAACAACTTTATGACCTATGACGTGTACTGCCTCATGTCCTCTGACAAAAA